GATAGATGCTAACCGAGAAGCAACAGAACCCCAGTCTGCCTCAGCCTGAGATACACATACACATACAAACCCTAAACCCTAAACCCTAAACCCTACTTATATATATATATATATATATATATATATATATATATATATATATATATGTGCGTGTGTATATATGTATTATATATAATAAAGAATAGACAGTATGTTACGTGCAATATACAATACACAGTAGATGATAATAAATAATGAGCAATAATAAACCCTAAACCCTAAACCCTAAACCCTAAACCCTAAACCCTAAACCCTAAACCCTGTAAACCCTCGATGTCCAATTCTGTGCGTTTATCTACCTATGCATACAGTCGGTGTACCTGTGTGTTAGGGTTTAGGGTTTAGGGTTTAGGGTTTAGTGTTTATACCTGTTTAAGTAGATCTCTGAAGAAGAGTAGACTGGGGTGACCATTGGTCAGTGTCTCCATATAAGCACTAATAGAGAAAGCTGCACGGGAGTGTCTCCTCGCTGTATAGAAAGGATGCTCACTAAACATTTGCTGTCTCTCATTTATTAATTTTTTTATTATCTGCAGCCCCAAACGAGAGTTATATATATCGGCATCCACTAACATTGCATGCAGTAAACACCATAGTTGAGGCATACGGCTCTTTGTTGCCTGAAAGGAGACACATACAAAGAGACAGCAGAAAAGGAGACACATATAAAGGAGACAGAAAGGAGACAGCAGGAGACAGAAAGGAGACAGAAAGGAGACAGAAAGGAGACAGCAGGAGACAGAAAGGAGACAGAAAGGAGACAGAAAGGAGACAGAAAGGAGACAGAAAGGAGACAGAAAGGAGACAGAAAGGAGCCAGAAAGGAGACAGCAGGAGCCAGAAAGGAGACAAAAAGGAGACAGAAAGGAGACAGAAAGGAGGCAGAGAGAGACAAAAAGGAGACAGTAAGACACAAAAGGAGACAGCAGGAGCCAGAAAGGAGACAGCAGGAGCCAGAAAGGAGACAGAAAGGAGACAGCAGGAGCCAGAAAGGAGCCAGAAAGGAGCCAGAAAGGAGACAGAAAGGAGACAGAAAGAAAGGAGACAGAAAGGAGAGAAAAAGGAGACAAAAAGGAGACAGTTTACGTTATATACCTTTCCGGAGAGCAGCAGCATTCCCCTGCCTTGA